TATGAAAAGAAAAAAATTTCAATTAATATGAGTCCTACTGGTTGAATTCTTATTAAGGCTTTAGTATATTTTTCTGGTTCCCTGTAAACAACTTCAATATTTGAATAAACAATATATTTTAATCTTCAACCATATTAATTTCCATTTATTATAGAAGTTACTGAGATAGTCCAAAACAGCAAGGATTTATGTTTATCTAAACAGTTTTGTACTACTGATGAAATAAAACATAATATCTTAAACCAGTGTTGAGGAAGACATGGAGGTACTTATGTGGTTTTTTTTGTTTTTGCAAGGGTAAAGGTAAAGGCACTTTGAATAATTAGTGAGGTGAAGAACAAGAGATTAATCAGAGAGAATGAGCGTGATTTCTTACTTTTGGCAGGGCTCTTGCAGGAGGCTTTTGTTGTCCCTCTGTCACTGTGCTTTTTTCTGGTTTTGGTGACAGAGAAGAGCATATTTCAAAGTCTGTATGTCCCAGATCCTGTAAGTACTGGTAAAGTGGAGAATTCTGAAAAAGACATATGAAATAAAGCAAATTTCAAGATCACTGCTATTTAAAAAGCTTAGAGGTCAAATTCAATAGGAAACTCACTATCATGACCAGTATGCCCCAATTCTTTAAGGCTTCATCTATTAAAAAGTGAATTATCTGTCACAATGCCATTTAACATTAAAAAAAAAAAAAAAAATCAACAATTCAACAGAGGGACCCAAAAAAGGAAAAACTCTAAACACAGATTTTTCTGAGTGGGTACCAGCAAGAAAAAATGGGTTTAGGAATATAAATAGATTTGTAAAGCAATTTCTTTGCCCAAATATTTGTAGTATTAGAGTAGATTACTTCAAAATAGCCAAGCCTGACTATAGATAGCTCCTAAGAGGGCCTACAATGAAAAGTAGTTATTACTTGAAGCTAAGAATTAAGCAATGATTATACTACATTAATTATAATTTTATACTATCATATTCACTAATTCATTCAAGCAAAAGTATGTATGACCTACCATATGTCTGCCACTGTAAACAATCTTAAAACTCCAAGAAAATTACCTAAAATAAGCTGTATCTCACATACAACCATAAGGCAAACAAGAGATTCTGTGGCTAATAAAAGCATTAGAACATGGTGGTTAAGAACACAAACTCTGGAGATAGACTACAGGTTCAAATCCCAACTGTGCCTCTTATTGGTTGAATATCCTATGACAGTTTAAATTCTTCGCTTCAGCTGTCTCATCTTAAAATAGGAATAATAATTACACCTTGTTCATAGGGTCTTTTCAAGGACTAAATACATACAAGGCACTTAGAACAGTACCTGGTCCATGGTAATCACTCAAATTACACTTCAACTATATATAAGCCAGGTGGAAAGAGCACAGGTTTTGGAACAGACAAAACAAAACAAACAAACAAACAAACAAAATTACTCCAATCATCAGATGCATCAGCATCACTGTTGGATGAAAATACATGGCACAATTCTTTCTGGATAAATAGCAAGCTTTAATTTTAACTTTGTCTTCTCTAAAGCACAAAGTTGGTGACATGTTTAAAAATAAACCCTGATTCCATTCAACAAAAATATTTAATACTTTAAAAAAGACCTTACGTTAGGTAGTAGAGATAAAATAACAACCACCATGAAAACAATAGTAAACAGCAACACAGCTAATGTAGTATCATGTGGCAAAAGCTTAACTAAACATTCTACTTGCATCATTTCACTTAAGGTTCACAACAAACTTTAAAAAGTATTATGATCATTGTTATTGTTAATACCCATTTCATAAATGAGGAAACAGACTCACTCTGTTAGATACAGAAAGCAGGATAGGTCTGATTCCAAAGCCAACACTCTGAAATATTATACTATACTATCTAAAATAACAAACAGTCCCTCCTATGTTTAGAGAGAAAGACACCAGGGAAACTTCCTTATAATTTAGTATAGAAATATCAAGCAAATTAATAATTGCAGAATTGTATTGGATACTACGGAAACAGAAGAGGCAGTTAAGTGAGACCAATATTTCTAGGGAATATATCCTTGAGTTTGGGAAAATGAGGCAGAGTGGGAATTTGCTTGTACTGGTAGCAATTTGCTGGGTATCAATTTGCCAGAATAGAAGATAAGTAAAATGCCTCCTTTTAAAGCTACATTTAATACTCTTTTGAAAAAGTATACAAAAAAATTATAATAAAAGGAGGGATATGTTCTTATCTCTCTACCAGACTTAAAACCTTTGGTGGCACAAACGGTTAATCTTAACATCACCCGTAATGTATCTTCAAATATTGCCTTGATCTTCAAATATCGCCTTGAATTACTCAAATATTTTCAAAATGAGTTGTGAACCCCACCCTGCTCTGTCCCCATAGTGGCAAAAGAACAAGAATGCTTGTTCGGTTGGGCTGACCTTTTGAAAAGTTTACATACTTAAAAAAAAAACAAAAACACAACACAACTTGTTTTTAAGGCAGAACTCTTTCTTCAAGTGAACTCCCATGGGGGAAGAACAATAAATAAGATGGATCAAAGCAGAGTTACTCTAATTCCAGGGTCATCAAAGTTTTCCTGTAAAAGGCCAGACAGTAAATATTTCACACTTTGCAGACCATATGGTCTCGTAACTAATCAGTTCTGCTGCTGTGGTGCAAAAGCAGCCACAGCACTACATAAAACAATGAGTGTGGTTATGCTCCAATAAAACTTTATTTATGGAAATACTGACCTTCTTATAATTTTCATATGTCACAAAATATCATTCTTTTGATATTTCCCCCGACCATTTAAAAACATGAAGTCCACTCTTAGTTCACCAGCCACAGAAAATCAGGCAGGAGCAGAGGACAAATCTGCTCCAAAAGCATTAGTTTGCTGACCCCAGTTTTAATTAAAGGCTCAGTCAAGACCTTGAGGCACACTCTGATTGCTAACTGTTCTGTGGCAACAGGCTTCAGGGTGGGGATGGGGGCTAAATTTTTTTTCATTCAAATTCTAATACCTTTCTTACTCCACACTTAGCTGATGAGTGTCAGCACTGACCCCAAAGTCCCTTCCTTTTCCAGTTCATATCACAGCTCACAAAATAACAAAATGGAAAATTTTTAAAGTGATTAAATAGAAGAGAAACAATGAATACTTTGTTCTCCATACGTGTTCTGCACATCAACTAAAGCATATGTACTCAGTTGGAAACACCATAATCTGGAACACTTGCTATTTCACTTTTTGCAAAATAGCAGCATTAATCATGTACCTTGAATAATACCAATAACGTCCAGAGGTGTCATTTGATACAGTAATTCTGTCAGTACCTTATTCTGCCTTTTCTAGCAATGTAAAACTTTTCATTAACTTTTTGGTTGGTTTCACAACGTTCTTATCAAAGGTGTGACATCCATTTATATGAGCAATGCAACTATGAATGATGCTGTAGTAATTCTGGTTTCTTCCCCATCTCTAGTGACAGAATTCATCACTTTCACCCTAGAAAGCACTGTTTTACAGTTCTGGAAAATTTTGGCCTGCCAAGACTATCACTGTGCCTTGTTTCATGGCTTTGTGTAACTAGTTAGACAAAATTTCAGAGTAGACAATCCTTGGAGACTACGGATGAAGGTACTGCAGGTCTGACAGAATATAATTCCAGGCACCATTGTATTTCTTATTTACACTTTACTTTTTTAGACTGCTATTGCAAATCAGACCATTTCTAAACATAAACTCAGACTGTATGTACTCTAAAGCTCTTATTCATAATGTTTATTTTAGTATTCTGAGTTGCATCCTTAATTTTGTTGTTTTATTTCTATTTTTATGCTTCAATCGCTTTAGAGCCAAAATAAAATTTAGTATTTAACCAATGATAACACGCAAATGAAAAACAAAGATCCCCTGGTTAACAAACTGAACATTAACTAAGATGAACCGACCAAATTAGACCTCATAGCACAACTGAGCAAATTTTAAGAGTGCAAAGTGATTGTTGGTAAAATTATTATTTTATTAATTTAAAAAAAGTGTTTGGGGGCTAAAATTACCATCACATTTTCTCTGAAACTGCCAAGTAACCTGTGTACTATTTGACAGATCTCAGAAAACCAGATCATGACTAGCGGTTCACAGATTTTTTTTGGGTCTCAAAACCTCTTTAGGATCTTAAAAATTATTGAGAGCCCCAAAGAGTTTTTGTGGATGTCCAACAACATTTATCATATTAGAAATTAAAACTAAAAAAATTAAAATATTTATTAATTTACTTAAGATAACAGTAAACCCATTACAATATTAATGTAAATAATGTAATTTTTAATGAGAACACTATTTCTCCAAAATGAAAAAGAAAGGTATTGAGCAAGATGGATTGTTTTACATTTTTGCAAACCTCCTTACTACCTGGCTTAACAGGAGAGAGCCGGATTCTTTTTTTTCTTTGAAATGTGTATTTATTTATTTTGAGAGAGAGCACGTGAGCACAAGCTGGGGAGGGGCAGAGACAGAGAGGGAGACAGAGAATTCCAGTAGGCTCTGCGCTAATAGCTACGCAGGGCTCAATCACTTGTACCATGAGATAATGACCTGAGCCAAAAACAAGAGTTAAACGTTTAACTGACTGAGCCACCCAAGCACCCCTAGAAAGGGAATATTTTTTAAGTCTTTTCTGACAATTGTATTACCAAAGAATACCCATAACAAAACTCAACAAGTGATAGTTTAGAAAAGGTTGATTTTAATGTGGAACATGAAACCATATAGATAAGCTTTTTCTACCCTATGCACGAGTGAGAAGTGAAAAAGGCAAATGGGGTTGCCTGCGTAGCTCAGTTGGTTAAGCTATCAACTCTTGGTTTTGCTCAGGTCATGATTTCATGGTTTGGAGATCAAGCCCTCCATCATGGTCCATGCAGCTGGTGCAGAGCCTGCTTGGGATTCTCTCCTTCTCTGCCCCTCCTCTGCTTGCTCTTGGTCTCTCTCTCTCTCTCTCAAAATAAATTTTAAAAAAACTTGAAAAAAAAGAAAAAGGCAAATATGTTAGTTATTAAAATGTGACGGCCTAATATATAATAATGTATTTCTTCTTTTACGACAAGATCAGGCTCCATGTTGCAACAGCCCTAATCACTGTATTTGTAGGTTGGGGTATTAAATTTATAAATGAATACATAGAAATTTCTATGCTTCATATGGTAAATATTATTATAGGTTGATGGCAGCCTCAGAAAGGGACTTTTTTTTGTAGAGGGCAAGGTAGAGTAGGTGATGATAGGTAATTTTTGGTTATAACTTTTTTCCTTGGTTCAAGCAAAATAGAACCATAAATATTTCAGTTAAGTTGTTTTCTTGTAAAAAATTATTAGCACTGGACTCAAACTATAATTCTGTAGTATTGTAGAATGATAGTGTTGCCAAAAGAAATACGAGAAACCTCAGACACAGCATGTGGGAGCT